ACCTATTTTGCAAAGTAATCTTTCACTCTTTGCTTAATGCTTTTTCTTTCTTTTAAAATTTCTAGTTGTTTATATATTGCGGATAAGTTGTACGTCATACTTATTAATTTTTTAAAGAACTGCACAAAGAATTTTATCGTTAATTTTTGGCATATTTAAGGTTAGTGATGCCCTTATCGAGCTCAAATCCTGGGTCCGCCTCTGTTAACTAGTATTTTAAGTAATTAATGTATCCCCACCATAATTAAACAATATTAAAAATGATTCTTACTTGCATATTCTGAATGACTTTCTGAGTTTCTTCAATCCACCGGTTGTTTTAGCCGTTTCTTCAATTTTTTTCCATGATCCCTTAATCACGTTGTAACAATTCTCACTTTCACCCTATATTTTTTTTTTGTGCACATATAAGCAAAAAACAAAAATAAGTGGCACAAGAGAGAAAAATACAGAGCAGAATGCACCAAACCTTTTCATTTGTTACAGAGGTGTTTGTTTGTTATTTGATAATAATGATACCTTTGGTTTATTCTGAATATACTATTCAATCATGAGAAACTTCCAAAATATATAGTTGTCCAAGACTTTTCCAATTTCTCCAATATTTAATCAATTGATGCCTTTTACATTACGACATACATCATGTCATCTTATCCTGAATCTCATCTTCATTGCCTTTTATCTTTCGACTGCATTCACTCCCACGCTGGTTAGAAAAATGTGGATGAGCTAGCTATAGTAATTGATAATAGCTACATAAAACATATGTTATGTAGTCCTATTTATTAATAAGTTGGTGTAAAAGTTGGTTACAAGAATGTGGATGAGCTTTCCTTCGGGTCGCTTATATGTGAAAAGAGTTGTTATATAAGAAATGTAATTCTTGAGAAAATTAAAGTTAAGTAAAACATTTATTAAAAAAAAACGAAAGAAAGGATTCTTTTCTTGCAAGCATCCTTTTTCTTCAAATTGAAGTTTTAAGAGTAGTATTCTTATAGCTTTTGAGGAAAGTAATCAGTTGCTTATCTCACAACTTTCATACTTACCAATGTTTACCCCGAAAATTGGATACGTGGTTTTAAGGATACGTGATATAATTTGATACAAAGTAAGAAATCAGATTTAATATAAAAAATAAATAGAAAAACAAGTGCGAATCACGCAAATCAAATAACTTAAACCTTGCCAAGTTAGCTTGCTTCCAATTTATGAATGATAGTATTGGGAGCGGGATGTTATTGAAGCCAAAATAAAATGAATAAAGCTGAAAAAGATAGTATGCTATTCTTTGAAGTCTGTTACAATGTGTCCTGAATTACTAAGTTCCCCATATATATATATTGAGGGAGATAGAGCTTTTAAGACATTATTTTATAAGAAACAAGATAGACCGTTGGCTCCTTTTTTTACTTTATTCTGTAATTTCTGTCATAATGATTGATTAATGCGGCGAGAATCACGGATCCTTGTCGGATGAGCTGGCGAAGCTTTTCCTCGATCGGTCGTGCCCTCGGTAAACTCGAGGGCAAGTCTGATGGTTTTGTCGAACTTCGAACCTCGATATCGAGCTCGATTTCATTTGTAACTTCGATCTATCGCAGATGTGTCGAACCCGATCTATTGTTCCACATACTCGACCGAGCATCGAGCTCGGTTTTACCCGTATACAACCAAAACATTAAAAAGGAACAATAAACTATTACCATTTCTATTTCTATAAATATACTAGTTCGATTTGAAATGGTGAACCACCAACGGATGTACATCATTATCGGGTTAATTTGATGATATGAAGCATGGCAACCATTTTTCTTAATAACTATTGTTTTCAAATTATGCATCTCAACTATTTCACTATCTTTCACCATGATAAATATTGGATAACTCTATTCACTGAAGTTATTTTTTGTTGCTAATTATTCACCGAAGTTCAGATAGAAAGAAAGAGAATCACTTAATATCTTTTTAACTTGACCAACATTTCTCAAAAAAGAAAAGCTTACCCGAAAGTCTTGGGTGATGATATTATTGAAGCTGTAAGGAGAAGTAATATTCTCAAAGTTGAGGATGGGTGCAGAAGAAGCCAAGGCTCCAATGGTCACATGTGGGTATTTTAGCCTAAACCATGCTGCCAACACTGTCACAAAAATATATTAAATGGTTGTAAGTATCCAAAAACATTTAGTAATTAATAAGCAAAAGCTGCAAAGGTAATATTAGTATTAAATGCCGAAAGAGCAGCCAGTACATACTTCCACCATAGGAACCCCCAAAAACAACTACAGGTGAGTCAGTGGCAGTCAAGTTCTTTTTCAGATCAATTATAAGAGTTGCATAATCAGCTAATGCCTGAGTCGAACTCAAATACCCTAATGTGCTTGTGTTTGAATAGGCTATCACCTTGTCTCCTCCATATGGTATTGACTTCCCGTAAAACCTATGCTGTAATACAACATACCAATTACCAGAAATAAATTGTTAATTAAGTGAAATGTTTAAAAATGGGCATGTATGTTCAGACAAATACTCTTATATATGATTAAGATTATTAAATGTACTTTTAAAAGGTGTACAAAAATCTTAAAAGACAAGTAATATGGATAGGAGGGAGTATCATTTTATTTAAAAGTTTAGATTGTGTCAATAGTAAAGCAAATGATGATTATGGAAAAAATATTGTGAAGTAAATAAAAGGCAAAACCACTTATAAATGAGAAATAATGAGTACTATTTAGAATTGAAAGAAGAGAGGTAATATATACCTCAATGAAGACTAGGAGGGCTTTAAAATGGGGAGCAATTTCAAACATGAAACCAGTGTTTTGAGTAAACCATTCAATGTCTCCTTCATTACCAGTGTATACAAAGATAGGAGCATTATTCTTGGCACCACCCCAATGTTTGTCATTAAACAAATACCTCTGCTGAAAGGTCTGATAACTATCTGGATTATAATTGAAGTGGTCAAGAATTTGAGTGAAGTAGTTTGTCTTATAAAGCTTGTTGCCTTTAGATGCCAGAGAAAAGTAGACATCTTCTGGTTGAACAAAGGAAGAAGAAGGGAATCTTGGTGGGATTTTGGCAAAGGAAAGAGAAGAAAAACACACAAGGAAGAGAGAAAATTGGAGGAGAAGTAATCTGATTTTCATGATCCCTTTCTTTCAGTGTTTTGCAGTTGGCAAAGCAAAGAAAACAGTGAGGGGCAGTGAGGCCGGGGGTGGTTATGGGGCCAAGCAATTAGAAGGGATTCTCTCAATAGTTTATATAGAATAAAAGTGTTTAGATGGCTAAAGTTTTCAGTTGCCTTGTTGGACTTTATACGATGGTAGGCCATGAAAACTTTAGAAAAATATCAAGAAATTCCACATCAAAATTATCGTCTTATCTGTATGGAGATAATGTAGGCTTTGGCTTCTGTGTTTATTTTACTTTCTTAATGTATTTATAATCTTTTATGTACATAAGTTGAGACCTCATTCTCGACCTTATAAACGAACAAGTTCAGATTTTGTGCACTGATGATACATATACTGATATCTTTTATAGTATTAGATTAAGTTGGCATGCAACAATAAAATAATTCTTTATAGCAAAGGTAACCTAGAAAATAAAATAATAATTTGCTATAGCCTATAGAATAAAAAAAGCTTTACATCGTCACTGTAATATGCATTTTACATTATATTTGCCATTTCAACTTTATATTAGAACCTCAAGAAACTGATGGAATACCTCAATGAAGAGCAGGAGGGCTTTAAAATTGGGAGCTGTATCAAACATGAAACCGACGTTTTGAATAATAAATTCAATACAAATATAGGAGCATTGCTCTTGGCGCCACCCCAGTGCTTGTCATTGAACAAATACCTTTGTTGAAATGTCTGATAACTTTGTGGATTATAGTTGTGTTTACCCTAAAAACGGAAAACAATTGAATCTATACGCGGCTCTAAGAATACGTGATATCACTTGGTACAAATTGAGAAAATAAGTATATTAGTGCTGAAATTAACTGTAAAAGAAATAAATGCAAACCAAATAAATCAATTAGCCTTGGCCCTCAAGTTCGATCCCCCTCAAACCAGGTGAAGATTCCGCTGGTATATGAACAGAGTAACAAAATAATGACGCTGAAAGAAGGCAGTGTATTGCTTCTTCTTTTTTTGCATAAAATGTTGTGTCCCCTACAAATGATCATACCCCCTTTATATAGTAGGGAACTCCTACTCTCAATATAATCCTAAATACAGTAAAGAATCCCATGATAGGTTAATTAATTGGCTTCCCCTTGATATGTGCCGGGATTTCTGCTGAGATTCTAGCCCAAATGCGGATATTCCGACTTTTTTGTTTTTTTGCTCGATAAGCTTTCCTCGGTCACGCTCGATCTCTATTTTACTCGGTCTCGATCTTGGCTGATCTCGATTTTGATCGGTCTCTATTTTGCTCG